GAAGTATGAGATAAGATAAAATAAGATTAGACAAGATAGTACTTTATTATCCCAGAGGGAAATTTTCCTTGGCTGTACAGGACCGTAAAAACACATGCAGGTATACATTTTTAAAAATTGTTATATATATTACTCTCATTATAATTCAATATGGAAGGAGAAGTAAAGCTGACAAAATGTACATTTACATCAAATGCATCATTCAACCACATGCAGGAATTTAAATACTAGACCTTTGGAGTTACATTCGTATACACAGATACATACTCTAAGAGTAACATACATCTATGCTCATTCTAACAAAAGCCTTATGCTAGATGGCAAAAAACTTCTTTTATATCTTTCTTTCTTTGTTTTTGGAGGTACATATCTGCCGCTGCGTGATCTTACAATTTGTGAGGAAAAAGGGTGTGATGGGTCGTTTATAATGTTTCTTATCTCTTTTTTTATACGTGTGGTGGTATACATTTCATCCATTCTATTAAAATCATATCCAGAGATCTTACTGGCTTTCTTAATGGTTCTGTCAAATTTTCTTTATCTTTCACCTTACAATTCCCATCCCAGCAGCAAATACAAAATAATAGCACGCTTTCAATCAGAGAATGGTAAAAAAGGGACTTAATCTTATTGTCAACGCGGAAACGTCTTAATTTCCTTAAAAGAAACATCCTTTGATTTACTATTTTTATGCACAAGAGCAGCGTGGGGATGCCAGTCAAGTTTGTGGTCGATTGTTTCACCAAGATACTTGTAAGAGCTTACCACCTCCACCTCTTCATCTTTAAATCTTTAATAAATAGTGGTTGCAATTGGTCTTTTTTTACTCTAAAGTCTATTATTAATTCCTTTGTGTTTTTTACATTTAGCAAAAGGAAGTGGTTATCACACCAATTTGTAAATAGATTCACAGCGTCCCTATATTCATTCTCATTTGTTGTTATAATGCCTTGTTGAGTGAAATCATCCGCAAATTTTATTAGTTTGATGTTTTTGTTATCAAAAGTAAAGTAAGTGAGGGAAAAGAGAGGGGGTGTCTATTTAAATTGTCATAAATATCTGATTCTGTAACCATGGTTGAGTTGAAATCAGCAACGGCAATGATAACGGTGATGACAATGGTAATGATAATGGTGATGATGATGAGGAAGAGGAGGATAAGGAGGTGAAAGAGGAGAGAAGAAGAAGAAGAAGAAGAAGAAGAAGAAGAAGAAGAACAAGAACAAGAACAACAAGAAGAAGAACAAGAAGAACAAGAACAAGAACAAGAACAAGAACAAGAAGAACAAGAACAAGAATAAAGGGGAGATATGGATCTGGAGTAGGGGGAGGATGCACAGGGATTTTTCACACAAAAATTTCATACATTGGTTCGAAGTGACAAACAATAATAATATTATCATGCACAATTCTTACCAAAGGATCCAGTCCTCCAGTTTCTCTCATGTTGTTCAGGGACCTTGACAAATAATGGGTCTCTCTGTTCGACAGTTTGTCTAAATGAGAAGAATTTTTAAAAAGTTTATTGAAAAGAATAATGAAGCAGATAACTCCAACAGTTGTGTCAAGACCATCACGGGACATCTTTGCAAGTGACATTCAGATTCGTTACCTCTGAGATCAATAGACAAGAGCAAGATTCCCGCGAGAAGAAGTTTATCTTATCCGATACCTTGCACAGAAAACCTGGTTGGCGCTGATAGGCAAGGTCGAAATGGCCCGCCTCCTAAAGCACCCAAATTACGTCGAAAGGGACATGAAATATCAATAACAAATATTTCTTTAGCTCCTTCCACAATCCCTTCTCACCCTCTCCCTCGATTATTTAAATTTGTCTCCTTTTCCCCCTTGCCATTCCTTCATCTCATCTAAGTTAGATTTTCGGATCGATATTATTTGCTTACCTTTTCCTCCTCCCTTCATGTCATCTACGTTATATTTTTTTTACTGTTATAATTTGCTTATTTTTCCTTCCACCTTCATCTCATCAACGTTACATTTTCGTACTAGGCTAATACTATTTATCTTATCTACTTAAATTGTCGTATTATTAGTATCGCTTATTTTCTCCTCCTCTTACACAGTCTCAGAAAAAAAAAACCTGCCAGCAGCCATACAACCTTATTATGCGTTTCTGGTTTGTCCTCTGCCAAACTATAAGTGGAATATTTGAACAAAAGGCACTCAAATCCACGCACAGTATTTGCCCATACCCCTCGAACTCCGTTGCTGTATCGATCTAACAAATTAATTAACTATCTTGTAGAGAAAAGGCACTGTTTCCAACAGTGTGAGGACGTGAACGGCCCCACCCACTATAACTAACTTGGTGCCCGTCCTTGTGGTCTTCTCCATTATCATGTTAATTATCCTCTTCCACTCTCTAATTTTACTTCCCTCTATGACTTTTTTTTGTTCTCTCTTTCCACAGGTGTATTATCATCAACGTTGTTCATTGACGTCATCTTTTGGTATCTTCTAAATGACCGTAGCTTTGTGTATGAGGGCGTAAAATATTAGTACACACAGTAACAACCTCCTCCACTTCTTCCTCCTCTTCCTCTTCCTCCTCCTTCTTCTTCTTCTTCTTCTTCTTCTTCTTCTTCTTCTTCTTCTTCTTCTTCTTCTTCTTCTTCTTCTTCTTCTTCTTCTTCTTCTTCTTCTTG